TTAGCCCAGACTACCTTAAATCTGGCAAGTTATCTGGCTAAGCAAGTAATCCTGCTTTGTGAAACAGGCCCCTGGTTGGTAAAATAATATATGCCATGTTGGTTGTTTATTTTTGAGCCATTTTTTCATGTTCATGTACAGTTGTCTGTTAATAAAAGTGCCTATGTGAAATTGGGGACATTTGGCTCTCACTTGGTACTGTATTTTTGTTATTACTTTATGGGAAAAATATTGAGATATACAGTGGTACCTTGGTTTGCGAGCATAATTCATTCTACAAACGTGCTTGTAATCCAAAGCACTCGTATATCAAAGCAAATTTTCCCATTAGAAATAATGGAAAATCAGATGATTCATTCCACAACCCGAAAATATTCATATAAAAATGATTAATACAAAATATAAAGTAAAAATACATAAAACAAATTAACCTGCACTTTACCTTGGAAAAGAATCGTGGATGGTGTGAGGGAGATGGGGGCTTTGTGTAATAGTGCTGTTGTTGTGTTTTTGTTTATTAAGGTTATGTGTGCGAGTGAGTGGGTGCATGTGTGGAAGTGAGAGTATTTTTAGGTATTTATTTTAGTAATTTTTAAGTTAAGAATTAAATATTTATTATTCACGATGCACTGCAAATTTCGTTGTACATTGTCAATAACAATAAAGCTATTACAATTACAATAGAGAAGAAAAGGTGGGTTATTTTGTGGGACGACTTTCACTATAACTAACGGAATCACTGCTATCTGTTGGCTCACTGGAATCTTTTTCTTTTTGTGCGACTTTAACAAAGAACCTATCCAATGTCAGCTGCTTTTGCTTCCTTTTCGATTTCGCGGAAATGTGGACATTGCATAGTCATTAAACAGATTAATCGCTCGCGCTGCTCAACCCTTATTGGGATGGTGCTTTTCTATTGAATTTTGACTGACTCAGACACGGACTAAATACACTGGATATGCTGAACAGAACAGGCAACAGGTGAATACAATCAGGAATTAACATGAGGTAACGAGGTGGGTGTGGCACACACGAGGATCGGACGGAGCTGGGCGTGACAATCAGTGTAATGTTTTTGTATAAAAAGGCAAGGTTAGGGGGTGTCGAAAAACGGATGAATCTGTTTTCTGTTATTTCTTATGGGAAAAAAAGATTCTGTGTTTGTCGGATTCGAATTACCGATGAACTCCAGGGTTCTACTGTAGTATATTATAGTAATCATAATGTTCAAAATGTAAAACAATTAACTAGAAATGGTTTTGGTTAGGTGTTTTTTTCTTCAGATCTTAATCATTAAATACACTTTTTTCAGGACATAGCTTACTGAAAATGAGAAAAATGTCTGAATAGTCTTTGAAACAAAACACATTCACATAAGTCTGACAATTTTATAGACAGTGGAAGATTTTTATGCAAAAAAGAAGCTGGTCAGCATGTTCAGGTGTGAGACAACTTCGTTGTGCCATAATCATATATCCTACTGTAGAAAAAGCCCTCTCAGGAGGCATGTTATTTCCAGGGGTGCAAAAGCAGGACTTTGTTACATGACACTGAAGGGGGATATAGCACCTCATGTGATCTCCACCAATTCAGTGGATTTTCTGAGAGTGGAACAGGTTTCTCTTCCCAGTATCTGGACTGTTCTTCATAGGTCCCTACAGTGGCACCTGTAAGCAGCTGCACAGGACACTTTTAACTATTTTGATGGAGTGATGACATCAGCTTCATGAGAACTAATGCAGTTGTTCTCCTGCTTTCCAACAGAAGAACATTCAAACACTGCTGCTAAGAGATAATGCAAATTACTTATCTCAAGTCAGCTCAGGCATCTGACTGAATCGTAACAAACAACATTTTAAAAAATCATTCATATTGAGATAATAATTATTCCTAAAAGTCTGCTTACATCAACTGCATACACTTAATCCAAACTAGCAATTTCAGTTATATGTCTTGAAAAGGTGACCTTACAGTCCTTATTAGGAAAGAAAGGCAGTGTCTTCAAATGAGGCTCTAGAGATGATTCTACATAGTTTCTTCTTGAAGTCTGCATATCTATAAATTCACATGGGAACATTCAACATTTAACCCAAATTGTCCTGCCCCGATCGTCCGCTCCTTCTGTGTGCCACGCCCCCTCATTAACCCCGTGTGGATTCCCTGTGTTCACCAGCTGTTTCTGATTATCTTTCATCCACCTGTATTTAAGTCTGCATTAGGTATGTTTTCCCCAGTCCGGTCATTGAAGTTTCACCTCAGTCTTGTGGCTTGCCTTTTGTGTTCTTACAATAAATCCCTCATTCCCTGCTTCCTCGCCACCCTGCTTCTGTTTCTCCGGTCGGCGTGCGTGACACAAATCACACACCTTCAATTAAACAACCTGTATCAGAAGCTGATTTTTTTATTATACCAAGTCTGAATATAATTAAATATTAAGTGAATAAAAACAGAGCATACCTCATCATTAAGTTTTCATGTACCGCTGATTTGAGCTTCTTTATTAATGCAGAGTCCTTGGCAGTCCCACACATCTCCTCTAATAGCTGACCCTGCAGAAGGTACAGTGAGACAGGGTGGGGACCTTCTTCAGGCATAGTGTGGCTGTATACATTGGCTTTAGAGTTTTCACCACATTTTGTGCCACTGTTTTGTCATCGTCCGTGAGGGTGATGAGGGTTCAGTATGTGGTGTCACGTCCCTGTCTAGGGTCAGGGCAAGTGACAAAAGGGTCATGTCACGCCAACAACTAACCGAACAAAACATGCCCAATCTCCCCGGTCTGTTTATGCTTCTAATGATTTTATTCACCCGAAGAACTCGGTTAACAAAGCGAGCAGCATCACGGGTCGTAGCAACAACCAGACAACCGACAACTACGGGCAACAAAAAAAAAACAAAGGCTGCAGGGCTCCAAGACTTCTCCATCCAGCAAGCTGGGCTCGCTTTTAAAAGCACCGCGCCCGCTGGACGGCCAACCGGAACACCCGGGACGACAGGCGGGGCCATCGATCCCCCAATCTGGTCCCGACGCGTCTGCCTGTTCGAAGGGAAAGAAAAAAAAAAGAACACAGGCAATGAGCCCAGAGCACCCCCACAACTCGTCCCAAATCATGCAAGACGTAACACCCCCACCACCAAATTACAGCATCCTATGCAAACTGGCTCAGTTCAGACATCTTCGCGGCGCGAGATAACGCATCCGCCAAAACATTATCGGTGCCTCGCTTATATCTTATCTCCAAATTAAATCCCTGGAGATACAGTGACCATCGCATGATGCGTTGATTGGCATTACTCATTCGGGATAAAAACGTTAATGGATTATGATCCGTAAAAACCAAGACAAGAAGCGAGGTAGAGCCCACATACACCTCAAAATACTGCAGTGCAAGCAACAAAGCCAATGTCTCCTTCTCGATGGTGCTGTAATTCTTCTGATGTTTTAAGAACTTCTTTGAGAAGTACGAAATAGGGTGGTCTATGCCACCACTATTCTCTGGTAGGAGCACAGCACCGGCTCCAGTGGCACTGGCATCTACTTCCAGCTTGAATGGGCATTGAAAATCGGGAGCTGAAAGAACAGGGGCACTACACAGAATAGCTTTAACACCATCAAAAGCAATCCTTAGTCCACTCAAAAGTGCGAGATTCACCAAGCAAGTTCGTAAGGGGTAAAACCACATTAGAGAAATTTCTACAAAACCCGCGATAGTATCCAGCCATCCCCAAAAACCTACTGTCGGGGAGA